GTGGGCGGTGGGGCCACCGTGGGGCCCCGCCACGGAGGATGGGGACAGTGCCAGGAAGGACACTGGCTTCAGACCGATGAAGTTGGAGAGGGAGATGGTGTAGGGGGTGCCCAGCAGGGCTGGGGGGGCCGGGGCGACGGCAGGCAGCGCCGCACCGGAGCCCGGAGTGAGAGGCTGGGAGAAGCCCACGCCGAGGTCCATGGAGCCAGGGCCCGGCGGCACCTGGGAGGTAGATTTGGCCGTCTCTAAGCTGGGGAAGCGAGCAAGAAGGGTGGGGTGGTGAGCAACACGGTGACAGAGCGGGTCCCCCAGCCCGACCTGCCCTTGTTAGGGTGCAGAGACCGTGTGCCCCCATCCCTTGAGGCACGGGTCTCCGTGGCACATCCTGGGAATCCCGCTGGGCTAAAAAGCTGGGGTTCAAACCCTGTGGGGTCCCGGGTCCCACATGCACCATCTCAGGACCTCAGCTCATCCTTCCTGAGCGTGCTGGGGCTGGTGTCCCCCACAAGCTGCATTGGGGTGCTGGGAGGTGACACTTCTCGCTAGCAGCCAGTGTGTCGCCCCCAGGGCTGGCACCTACCAGGCTGTGATGAGGTACTGAGCCAGGGCGATGCTGACAGGGGACCCCGTGATGGTCACGTGCCGCTCACTGGAGCCCTCGGTCTGGTTCCCAATCTTGATGTGGGCGCCCGACATCTGCCGGATCTCGCTGATCTTGCTGCCGTGCCGGCCGATGACACAGCCGATGAGCTGGAGGGACAGGGACCGGGGTGAGCTGGGAGCAGCTAGGAGCCATGCCGAGCAGGGAGATCCCAGAGGCTCACCCGGCCACCCCCTATGCCTGGGAGAAGTGCGGAAACTGAGGCAGGCACTGGGATCCCAGGGTGCTGCTTTCCTTGGGCAGACCCTGCTTTTTGGTCTCACTCAAGCCCTCCCCTGGCTGGCATTGCTGGGCTGCCACGTCCCAAGGCTCTTCCTTGGCCTTGGCCAAGCCCTTCCTCCCTCCCGTGCCTCAGTTTCCCTTTTCTTCCAGCTGCTTCTGCCCCAGCAGCCCCTCCTGCTCCTGAGCTCTGTGGGCTGAGGCAGAGCCTTCAGCTTGTGTGGGGTGGTGGATGCTGGCCCCTGCAAAGTGGTTGTGGGGTGGGACACATGGGTGGGGGCAAGCTTGCCATCCCCAGGACCCACACGTACGTCATTGGGCACCAGAAACTCCTGGGAGCTGCTCTGGGAGCTGGTGTCCAGGCCTGGAGGGAGAGACAGGGATGTTAGCCGTGGGGGGGGCGAGTGTCCAGCAGCTCCATGCCCCCACCCCAGCCCTGTGCTGGGACAGTCAGTGGCCCTGGGGACAAACCTGAAGGATCCCTGGGGAGAGGCAAGGAGGATGGGACATGGGCACCAGTCATAATTTGGTGCCAGTGCTCCCCCACTGCAGGGTTGAGGGGCTCTGGTAGGTGCAGGGACCCCAGTAAATCAAGAACAGGGTCATTCTGGGGGGCAGGTAGCCATGCTGGGGGGGCCAGGACCAGAGAGGGTGCAGGGGACGGGGACCGCCTTATCAGGACCAGGTGGCTGGCTGGGTCAGGAGGGGCACCCCACACCCCCAGCCCTGGGGGGGGCACAGGAGATGCTCACCTGGCACCATGGAGGGTGCGTGGCCCAGGGAGGCGAAGGGGAGAGTGTGCCCTGACAGCTGCTGCAGCTTTGTCACCTGCCCGGGCAGTGGGAGGAGGAGGAAGGAGGTGTTAGGGGTGATGGCAGAGGGTCCCCTGTCCCCTCCTGGGGCTGGATGCTGGCACCCAGTGCCGCCCAGGACAGGGATCCCCGGCAGCGCCCATCCTGGCAGGCACAGACCCAGTGCCCATGGGAGCAGGGGTTGGCTGCCATGGGGACAGACTCACCTCTGCGGGAGAGACCCCACTGTACTGGCCCTGCATGGAGAAGCCCTGGGAGGGGTAAAGGAAGGGGCATCAGTGGGGGGCCAGGTGGGGACCCCTGCCTCAGGCCACCCCCCAGGGCAGGGAGGCCAGCCCAAGCCCACCGGAGTCGCCCCTCGCCAGCAGAGGCTGGCCCCCCAGCCACCCTGTGCCCCCGGGGCGGGGCTGTGGCCCCTTACCTGGTTGGCAGAGAGCAGGATGGTGCCCAGGGAGAGGCCAGGGTGGTAGGGGATGGTGGCCCCCTTCGGAGGCGACTGGAGAGGGAGGGAAGGAGGTGGAGGGGATGAGAGATGAGGTCGAATGCCCCCGCAGCCCCCTGGACCCCCTTTGGCCCCATCCCCACCCCCCCCAAGCTGGGCATGGCCCTCAGCACCGCCAGGGCAGAGTGCTCTTACGGGGTTCAGCACAGGGGGACCCCGGTGCCCAGGTCCAGGTGTGCACAGGGAGCCCAGGGGAGGGGGGGCAGGCAGTGCGTGCCTCCCCCAGGCTGGGCACAGAGCTCGGTGGGTACCTCCAGGATGACGGCGCAGATCTGCCTCACGCACTGGATGATGGTGTCTGGCACCCCCGAGACGGTGACGGCCCGTTCGGTGGAGTTGGGCAGCAGGTCACCGGCCACCTGCACCTGTGCCCCCGTGCTCTGCAGGGGGCAAAGGGAGATGCTGGGGTGCCTCAGCCATACCTCCCCCGGGGCTCAGTGCCTCACACCTCCCCTGTTCCCTCCTCGGGCCCTGGGGACCTTTGCAGGACCCGCAGGGTGATGCTCCACCCCTGCATCACCTGCACCACCTCCCACAGCTCCTGTGGGACCGTGGCAGCCCCTGTGCCAAGGGCTCCATGTGCCCTGGGGGAAAAGGGGAACCCACACCCAGGGCACCCTCAGCCTCACCTCCCGAATCTCCCGGATCTTAGCTCCCGCCTTGCCGATGAGTGAGCCGCACTGGCTGGCTGGGATGACGAGGCGCAGCGTCACCGGCGCTCTGCCCACTGCTGCCCCATCGCTCCCCGCTCCCAGGTCCTGTGAGGCGGGGGGCAGATGTGGCATTGGACCCCCACGAGCCCACTGGCAGGGGGTGAGTGCTCCTGGCTCAGGGGGCACCCGGAAGGAGTGGGGTGGCTGCCTACCTCCTCCAGCTTGAAGGCGATCATGGAGACGGCGCGGAAGACGGCGTCGGTGGAGCCGGTGATGGTGGTGATGCGCTCAGGGCAGGACCCCTCTGAGATGGTGATGCGCGCGCTGCTCTGGGGACGGTGTCACACCCCGTCAGGGACATCGTAGGCCCTGAGCTCAATGGGCCCCCCACCCAGGGAAGGGCTCACCGGGGGTGGCCTCAATGTCTGTGGACCTGGGCTTTCCCCCTCCCACCTGCCCCAGGCAGCCTTCCCTGGGGTGCAGCCATGTCTCCCCTGGGTCCACCTGGGAATGGGGGTGGCCAGGGCATGTGGGAGCCACCAGGTGCAGGCAGGACAGGCAGCAGGACCTGGCAGCCCCCCAGCATGCCCTTACCTGCTCTCGTATCCTCTTAACCGTCTCTCCTTTCTGTGGGGAGAGGAACAGGGCGGGTGGTCAGGTCCAGGGGAGCCCAGGGCTGGTGGTGCCCCAGACCCCAAATCTTACCTTGCCGATGATGCTGCCGATCTCCTGCAAAGGCAGAGACGAGGGTGGCCCCATCAGCAGGCAGCTCCCTGCCTGCCACATCCCTCCCCTGCCCACAGCGTGGCCAACGGGCAACAGCAGGCCCTGCCCCGTGGCCACTGAAGCACTGGGTGGCTTGCTGGTGACTCTGGGGCATGGGAACGGCCCCTCCCTGGCTTAGGATGGGGGAAGAAATCCTTCTGGGAATGCTGTTCCCAGGGGGATTGGGAGCAAGGAAGGAAAACAGGGTGCAATGAGGAGCTGGTGGTCCAGCATGTCCCCCCACCCCAGGCATTGCTGACGCCCCCGAGCAGTGCCAAGTCCCCCCACTGTTACCTTGCCATGCATGAGCATGCGGAGGGTCAGGGTGATGCTGAGCTCCGTCTCCTCGGGGCTGCCACCCACGCCGCTGGCTCCATCCGGTGATGCCATGGCGGGAGGGCGAGCTGAGCCTGTGGGACACGGCAGTCTCCAGAAAGGGGGGAGGCCCCAACTACCCCCCCCGCCAAATCTGCAGCCCGAAAAGCACCATGGCAGGGAAGAGGGGAAACTGAGGCAGGGGCAGCACTATGCCCTCCTCCGGTGGGGGAGGCTTGCATGGCCCCATGGTACCCGGGGCCCCACCATCATCCTCCATCCCTTCCAGGAGCTCCCCAAAGGGACCTGCCACCACACGTCTGCCTGAGCCTGCAGGCAGCTGCCTTCAGCCTGGCCTGCGCACGGCCCTTGGCTGGAGCCGGCACCTTCACGGAGCCAGGAGACGGATGGATGGATATCGGGGGGAAGTGGAAAAGCGTGGGGAGCATGGCTGTGGGATGGGGTTCGGTTCACAGGCATTTGCTGGGGTGGTGGCACACGGGGTGGGGGGAGCAGAGGTGACCTGAGTGGTCTCACACGCTGTGCGAGCCTTCCTCTTCCTCCTCCTCCCTTCCCCCTGCCATGTGCAAAGCCCCAGGGGAAACTAAGGCAACCTCCCCGATGGGGACCGCGAGCCTGACGTGTGATGCCCAGCGCACGATGCCGCTGCACCCTGTCCCCCCCTGAGCACCCCAGGGCCCCCCCAGACCCTGTGCCTGGGGGATGGGGGCGGCTGGGACCCCGCAGTGCCAGTGGGGCTGGGAGGAGGACAATCGCCGTGTGTCCAAGCCTGGGTGGGCGGCTGCGGCACCGCTGGCTCCCGGCAAGCCGGGTGATGCCAAGCGGCTTTGAAACAAAGCACCCGTGTTGGGGCTGGGGCCCGTGTCTGCGGGCATGGCGGGGTGGGGGCAGTTATTTTAAGTGCTGGCAGGACTCGCCACTGCTACGGCACATCTCCTGCATCAGGGTAATGGGGTACAGGGGGGGCAAGCCGGTCGCCCCTGTATCCCCTAACTGCTTCGACTTGCACCCCCGGGGTGGTTTGGACCCTCCATCTTCACCACCCCGTTAGTGGGGGCTGGAGAAAGGGGAAAGGCTGGGCAAGGGGGAATATTCCCCTTCCCGATGGAGGGGAGCCTGAAATGGGGGGGTACCCCCTGTAACCCGTCGGGAGCCGTGCCTGGTGCCGGCAGGAGCGGGCAGCCCGCCCGGGTCCCCCGTCCCCCCGGCAGCAGGGACCCACTGGGGACAAAAGATCCTGCCAGGGAGAGAAGAACGAGACTGGCGGTGGGGCAGGGGGGAGGCGGCAGGGCCACGGGTGTCCCCCCACTGCCACAGGCAACGTGGGGGGGGCCGCGGGCGAGGGGGGGCTCTCCCCCCGGT